GCGGAGAATATTAAGATCTCTCTCCAAAAGATCGACAGAAAGGAAATAGCGCGAACTGGTGAACCTCACCGCTGCAAGGCTATCATCCTTCGATAGGAAATCTGCGAGAAGAAGGAGCTCAACGTTGGAGCTCCGTCCAAAGAAGGCAGAGGGACTCATTGTGGCGGGGAAGCTTTGGGGTCGTTCAATCGGACGCCAATGATCCGCCATCCGAAGTTGCACAAGAGGAGTCAGAGAAGCAAGCGTCTACACAGGGCAAGCGACGGTCTAATTTTGCTGAGGATGGAGTTCTTTGGAGGCGGCCCATACGCGTTCTTGCACCCATGAATGCGTGGTACCCAGAAGACCACACTTATCATTCCAATTATAGCAAAAGCTTTCCATTTGTATTTTCATGGCCCAAGTGATTTCCATATCGGTTGCTACTAGTGTTATCTCTTTACTCGGAAAACTACCTTTACCGTACGGTGTTACAACCTCAAGCTGGAAGTTCCGGAAGGGAAGCAAACAAAGTCGTCGCATGAGTCATCGTTGCCATCGATGTAGTCCTCCGCGTTTCGACATGGACCGAACCTTGGGGACCAAGGTTTAAGGGGGAAGGATTGATGAGGTTATTTTACGTTTGGGCTAGTTGGTTTTTCGTATTGGGCTAGGGTCGTTTTTCCTTTTCGTTTAAGTTTTTGTTTTGTGTTTGGGAAGGGGTAGCCGAATATGAGTGGGTATTTGGGTAGGATTGTTATGTATTAAGCTTTTCTCAGTCTATAAATATGTAAGTTCGACATTAGTTCCGTATCCAATTAATAAATCAAAGGTTTATAGACACCAACGTCTTTCTCTCGCTTATGAGTTACAAGTAAAACCCTTGAGATGTGAGTAACCGTTCATCAGATTTATCATGAATAATGAGAAAGAAAAATAAATGGGTACAAGATGAATGGCGGATCCAGGGATGGGCCAACCCAGGCCCCGAGCCAGCCCTCCTTCGGATCTAGAGTTAGTTTAGTGCTTATAAAATTTTTTGATTTAGGTATTTGGCCCAATGCTATTTAAATTCCTGTCTAGTTTTATTTGATAATAAGATTTTGTATAACTAGAAAAATGGTTCAGATGAACATATCCATACCATTACTCTAAATTTATACTAATTTTTCTATAGCCCCAATGACGTTATTTGAAAAAAGACATGAAAACCTAAAAGTGTAAGTTTCATTAAAATAAAAAATAAAAACTCTAAACTAAAGCACACCCTTCCTTGAAAAATTCAAAAAATTTCACAATCCCCCGAAAACAAAACAAGAACGAGGAGACGAGCATACCCATAATGGATTTCTCCGCCAACCCGTCGAGCTGGTTTTCTTTCCATTCTTTTGATTAAGAAAATATTTACAAACTTCCTAAGTCATCATTTAGATTGCCTCAATTGAGTGGGGCACTAGATTCTAACCGTTCTTTCTGGTGTTTTGATGAAGAAAATATTTACAAAATTGCTCAAGAGTTTAGCCTCGAGACTTTGAATGCTATGAGATGCATTCTTTGGAGAATGCACTACTCATGTGAGGAAGATGAAGTTTCTTCTCTTGCAAAATTATTAGAGAAGCTAGAGGAAACAGGGATGGACACATAATACAAATTGATTTCTCGGTTGATTTGCCTAGTGTTGACCTAGCCGTTTCAACAACTACCATGGAGAGAATATTTTCAGCAATGGAACATGAACATTGATTTGTAAAACAAAATGAGCGATGAATTTCACGTTGATTACTTAGCTATTTTCTTTGAAAAGAGTATATTATAAGTATGAATGGATATTATATTATTGATGAATTTGCTAAATTAAAAGACTTTCTTGCACAATTGACATTGTAATAAAAACTATATTATTATATATTTTTGTTTATGGTATATAATATTCTATTCAAATGCGGCCCAGTACTCTCTTATATCCTGGATCCGCCGCTGTACAAGATGAACGCCAATGTTGTGCTCCCATTAAAATCACCACCTGCAATTGAAGCAGCAATCTATGCAAAGGCCTAATCGCCCAGTCGCCCTGAAATCTATACGGAAAAACTAAAATTATTTGGCCAATTGTACGTGGATATGAAACTAGATGAATCACTATTTTTGTTTTTATGAATCTTTTTATGTTATATTATAAACAGGGATTGTTGACTCTCATCGATCTCATAAGTATCATACCAAATCCCATCAATCCAATCACTTTTTCGAGAAATACAAAACATCTAAGTCATACAAGTAAAGAGATTTATTCATTGATAAAAAAAAAAGAAAAAACGTGAACAGTGATTGGATTGATGATAAAATAGAATCTTTGGTCACGAACAGTGATTCGATTGATGATAAAGAAAGAGAATTGCCAACTAGGATCTATACATTATGATCAAGACCTACAAGGAACCCCAAAACAAAGTAAGACAAAGCCTACCAATACCTCCTTAGCAACTAGGCATCAATTAAAACCTTCACCTCGTTACGAATTACTTCCCCTAACAGTGCTACATCCATCTTCTCCCCTGCATATATGCGCCTTCATCGCTCTGGCCACAAATGGATTAGGATAAAACTCTGAATCAATCTACTAGCATCAGTGAGAGGAGTAAAGTTGGCAAAAACCCTTTCCGGCTTCCGCCCATCTAACCTCCTGTCTCCAAGTGGAAACCCACTGCCGAGGAAATATAGGGCTTAGAAATTGCAAATACAAATCCTCATAAACCATAAAGTCATCAAACAAATTATGCATAGATTAAGCAGCTTGATAGCAAAACACACAATTTAAAGGGCCTTATACCCCTTAGAGGCCATCCTAACACGCGTATCATATGTATACGCTCCTTCACAAACAGCTATAAAAGAAACTTGTTTCATAGGATTTTAGCTACTTTCCATACGAGTGAAGCCCATAATTGTTTAGGTAATCTCGGTCGCAAGGAGTTCCAGACCTTTTTAATAGAATACTTCATCATCACCTCTGTTACGTTTTAGTTGTTGGTTTTGGATTTGTTAATTTTCAATAATATTTTAGCTTGTTTTAGTTAGCCACGATTCCCACTTTCTGAACGTGGAGTAGGATTAGGGAATTAGTTAGTTCTGGTTCAATATTTAAGTTGTAATCGTTGAGTTGAGAGGATCATGGAATAAGATTATTGATTTGGAGGCTTGAGCCTATTATCCTCTCCCTACTTCTTCTCCCTTCTTCCCCTCTTTCTACGTTCTCTTTCCAAACTCTACCTTCTGCCATTATCTTCCCTTCCCTTCTCTGTTTCTAACTCTATGTTCCATTATTCACTTCCCCTTCTTGTTCCCTTCTTAATCACCGAACCCACTTCCCTCTTCTTACTTCTCTACAAACCCTATTCTTGTTCCGCTAGAACCATAGCCCCGAAACGAGACAAAGGGCTTTTGCCGTTACCTAGTTCTTGGCCGGGAATTGATAGATCGATTACAAGGTCATACGCAAAAGCACACAACAACCTCCCTTTGGCAAAGCAGCTGATCCCCCTAACCGAAAAATATTGCTGAACTTTAGAATGAGCGATGCTTAAGCTTGTATTGTCTAAGGCATGCAATCCAAAGTGAACCATGTTGCAAAACAATGCTCCAAATATGGCGAGTAATACATGCCGGGAACGGATCAGGTCAGTAACCTTATGGTGAGTAATCATGAGTAACCCGTCCACATCAGCATGACATCAGCATCCCTCTCTCTCCTGGAAAGCATTTAATTTTTGCGGGGATTGCCAAACTGTGGTGCGGCATGTTCGAGACAAGGATGTGGCTCACGACACTGCGATGTGATACTTGAAGAAGTTTGGTTAGTCATGTCCGTTTTTACTTCCTTCTCTCGTACATTTACCCCTTCCAAGTAGAATAGGGCTGTCAATTTAATGGCTCAAAATTTGGTTCCTTGATGTTCGCTGACTATCTGTTTATTTTATTTATCTATGACTAGGGATGACAACCAAACCCATGGTCGTGGATATCCGACCGGCCCCGATCTAGTCAACGCGGGGAATCCCCGCATTGATTGGGTATGGGGCGGGTATGGGTAAAACCCGCAAAAAGTTTGATGAGTATGGGGCGAGTATGAGTTTAGCCTCCCCATACCCATACCCATACTCGTTCCCGCTCACCAAGAGCATTTCTTCACAAATAAAAAATACATTGATTGAATTGTAATATATTATTAATAGTGAGGGTAACTCATGAAAATAAATATTAGAAATACAGTTGAGTGACCATCCAAATCAAAACATGATTCATTTTCCCCAAATCTCTCTTCATTCTTTTACTTTTTCTCTCATGTTAACAACATTATGTTAGTAAGTTATTACTTAGTAGATGTATCAAAGTCAGAGAATAATGATTTGGCTTATATTGTTACTCTATCTTATGAATGTTTTAGAATAAGATGCTTAGAATCGTATTAAGAATGATTGTCTCTTTGTTGACTTCATGAAATAGTATGTGTGTTTAGTGTTATAATGGTAATTTTACATGTAAAATTTAAGGTATTATAATGTTGGATATACGGGGCGGGTATTACCCATGATCACCCGAAACCCACGGGTATGGAGATAGGTTTGCGAATCCTTCCTCACATGGGTATGGGGCGGGTCTGGGTTTAAAATTTTGAAAGCGGGGATGGGGATGGTTTAGGCAAACCCGCCCCAAACCCGCCCCATTCCCATCCCTATCTATAACAAAAAAAAAACCTTCATGTATTTTTATAGATATTATATCATAGAAATAAAATGGGCACAAAATTAATCTTTTGGCAATCCTTCCCCATCTAATTGCAATAATTATTATATTGGTAAAAGTTCAGCAAAATAAACCAAAATATAATATCCCAAAAGACCAAAAGTATTGTCAACCACCATAATAAACTAAGAAAATAAAATATAGCATCTAACAGGCAACAGCTACTTCCATCCCTTTTAAGAAGAGCAAGGGCAAGAGACTACCACTGTCCACTGACATCAGCGTCGCAAGTTCTTCTTGAAAAGCTTCCAGCTCGCGTTGCCTTGCGCCAGCCTCTCCATGGCTCTCATCCGATTCTCAACCGCCTCCTTGATCTCGTCATGCTGCTTCTCGAACTCATCCAGCTCCTTGGAAGCCTCTCGATTCGCCCTGTCCAGTTCCGCTGCAGTCGACTTCATGTGATCCACAATCTTCGCCTTACGATCAGCCAGTTGCTTAATCTCACTCTCCAGCTTCAAGTCCTCATCCTGAAGCCTCGACACCTCCGCCTCCAGAGCGCTCAGCTGCTTCTTCCTGTGAACCAGCCTCACCTCCGCGGCTCGAGTTATTTCAGCACCGGATGATTCGACGGCATGGCTAGTTTCGATGGCGGAGAGAGAGCTCGGGACCATGTCTTTGAATTCGGCCAGGCGAGCGAGCACCTCTTGCAGCACCGTCTTCTCCACCGGATCGGTAGCGTGAGCGGCGATTTTGGTGGCCGCGTCCTCGACCTCGTCGAGCGATTTGGCTCGGGAGATGGCCTCGAGCGTCATGTCGAGGAATCCGTCCAGTTTCTCCCATTGCTGTGGCAGCAATTCGGTGCCGTGATCTGGATCTGATGTGTAGCTGCCGTGGCCAGCGCTACTGCTAGTCACTGACGCAAGTTTTGCTATCAGGTTCTTCGAGGTTGATTGCACACTTGGAGGAGAAACTACGGATGTGGTGGTTGCTCCAGTTTGATTCTTAGCAGGAGTGCTGATCGCAACCTGAAAACACCAAAGGGCAAAATAAAGCAATCACACAATGTATAGGGAGCTACAAAAAATGCGAGCTCACTCCGATCGTGGCACGATACAATTCGCTTAGCGTTTTTTAAAGAACGCGGTGGTAATTTTATAAATATTGCCATCCCATCGTATGTACTCATTATGGGACACATAATCTAAAGGTACCAATTAAATTACGTCCTTACAGAAATATATATCTCTAAACTAAAACCCATAACACATAACCGTATAAAGAAATACTATGAAATAGAGACAAATGATATAATATAGAGGGAGACAAATGATATATTTGTTGCCAAAGCATAGCTATCGAGATTGGAGACTATTACTATAATTGCCTCTAATTAATTTGCTTCAATAGCCATGTTTTTTCTTTTTTTTGGTTGTAGTGTGATTATTTACCTTGCTGTTATGCTTGGAAAGCGGCGTGGTGGACGATGCTTTGATTGCAGCTGATTGAGGTTGATCGTTGGTCTTGATCACTTTCGGTTTAGCATAAGCAACGGGTTCTGACGATGCTGCCACTTCCTGCAACGAGGATAATAATGAAAGTACATCAACATATATACATAACAACTAGGGGTGGCTATTTGGACCGGGACCGGATTAAAAACTGGAAACCGGACCGTATAACCCGGACCGAGACCGGACCGGGACCGGATAGTAAACAATCCAATCTAATCTTTGGGCTTAGATTTGAGGTAAAAAACCGGATAAAGACCGGATAAGAGAGCTCAACACCCAAAACTTAAGGGTAATTTGCATAAACGGTCACAAACCTTTGCACTTAGTACAAAACTTAACCAATTCCTCACCCTTTAAGGCCTTAGGCCACTCAAATCCCACAATCTCAATGTAAAATCAAGACCGAATTGGGACCGGACCAGATCAAAACCGGACCGGATCAAGACCGGACTGTATCCAATCCAATCTTCGGTCCTTATATTTTCAAAAAGACCGGATTGGACCGGATCAATTTAGGCAAATTTAACCGGACCGGACCGTATAGCCACCCCTAATAACAACAAGGAAAGGAGAAATGAAAGGAATGGAGTCGATTGGATTCGTTTGACGACTAACGGTAGTAAGTTCAACTTCAATAGTGAGTGTGTCATTAACGAGAAAGCCTTTCAGAGGATCTTGAAGGTCGGCCGTTGAAACCAAATAGTGCCATCCCCATGACGGTTGGTCTTTTTTGAAAACGTGCTCCGCGGCTGAAGTGAGGTTAAATATTAATTTTTATGATGACAGTGCATTGAATTGAATGCAACCAAAAAGTGAGTGCACTACTAAATATATATAGTAATTGAAAGGATATGGAGAAAGGGCGGGCGGGCGGGCGGGTACTCATTTTGACAGGGTTAATCTTGCTGAAAACAGCCAAGGTGAAATTAGCGAGCACACTCCATCCGTCGGCCATCTTTTGATGACTGCCGACATGGTGGAGATATGCAGACATCTTGTCGACGACATTGTTCCCTTTTGGAAAAACGCAAACCTTCCTGCAGATCAGGGATTCCATTCAACATTATTGTACAAAGGAGGGTTTCGTATTTTAGGCTACAATAATAATGATTTTTATACGGTTTAAGTAGCAATTACGAACCATTGTTGGGCGCCAGATGAGAAAGCGTCGGAATAAGTGGCTTGTTTCAGCTCCGAGAATTTGTCAATCTTCCACGTGAATTTGTTAGTCTCCTTCCTCATCACCGCCTGACCTTTCGCAACTGTTGCCATCTCCACTGATGCCAACACCCAAGAGAAGAGAGTCAAGTACTGCATGTACTGGATGCTTCTCCATTGTCAACTGTTATACAGCACATCATTGTGTCTACTCTAACCAGACTATCATACATATGGGCTTCACATCATCATCATCACATGTTTATACCATATTATCTCCAGGGTCAGACAACGGACGCTCAAAATTGATATTCACGAAACAACATGAAAGTATTCACGTTAGTCAAAATCGTGTTTTAAAATTTAAAAGGTGAAAAGAGCAGCCGGCCGTGAAGTAAAAGCTGTAGAGCGATGGAGAAAAATTAAGGCGAGCGGCTTACCAGCTGGCTGATGGAAAGCGGAGGCGGAGAGATCGATCTTTAGTCCTCCTCGATCTCGATCGGAAACCAGACTCCTAAATGATACTGGCTTCTGTTTGTTTCCCTTTTACTTCTTCAAGTCGATCGGTTATTATTTATATAAAGAGTCGTTCTTGGAGACTAACAAATAAAATATCTTCAATGAGTAAACCTAGCTAGCTAGTGATATATTAGCAGGCAGCTAGGGTTTCAGGAGTGCACAATTATTCTCCGTCTCTGCCGCCTAGATAGTAATTAAGTGATCCAAATCCATAATTCAATAGCATTCAATCTATTTAAAAGGGAACGGATCAGGTCAGTAACCTTATGGTGAGTAATCATGAGTAACCAGGCCATATCAGCATCCCTCTCTCCTGGAAAACCATTAATTTTCCCCTTCTTAATCTTTGACGGACGATTTCTCACTCGTTTTAAGTCGAAATTTAATTTTTTTTGCACAGTTAGATCAGATTAATTGTGCTCTTCAAAATGATATCCACTTTGATATATTTTTCGAACAAAAAAAAATTGAGCTATTTTTTACCAGTCTATACCATATGGTATTGACTGGTATTGAAATAAGAACATACCTATGGTTTGAAAAGCGTACCATGGTGGTATGAACAAACAAAGACTGTAGGATGGTTGAATACATGATAGTATAAGTATAATAACTGTCATTTACGACTTTTATCATTGTGTACCATAATATACCACCCCGTACCAAGGTGGTATTGTATGGTATTGTGTGATATTTTTTGGGCATGTAATTTGTTCACCCAGAAATTTGTACATCCAATAGATCATGATTAACTCGTCCCTTCTGTGCAAACGTTTTCAAAAATGAATTAAAAACGAAGAAAATACCATAATATACCATAATATACCACCCCGTACCAGGGTGGTATTGTATGGTATTGTGTGGTATTTTTTGGTCATGTAATTTGTTCACCCAGAAATTTGTAGATCCAATAGATCATGATAAACTTGTCCCTTCTGTGCAAACGTTTTCAAAAACGAATTAAAAATGAAGAAAATACCATATGGTATGCAGTTGGTACCGAGAGGCCAGAATTTTTTTTTTCTTAAAAAATATTGAAAATTGATCTCATTTTGTAGAGCAAGATGAACTCGTTCTATTTGTGCAAAAAAAAAAATTCGAGTTAAAACGAAAAAGATATGAGTCGATTAAAAAAGTTAGGAAAAATAAAAATGGTCTTTAATTCTCCATCCTTAGATCTGGATTTTCTAAATGAAAGGTCCAGATTTGGTTATTGATGGGTGCATAACCCATGGTTATGCACTCTATCTTGAGCCCATTTAAAATAGATACAAATCTAATTCAATTATATTGAATCCATATTTATTTGATTTATAGAATTCATGGATTGATCATCCACCAATCTACTAACACATATTTTGTTAAGTCGTCAATTCTATTAAAGAACCTATCTATAATCTATATTTCTTTGCATCATCACTTTTGCACCACATTTGCCTAATTTTTTAACCACCGATCTTTATATCCACCAAAACCTCTCTCTAGCCAATAAAAGCTTTTGATATGCTACATCGGTGAGATATGGAGAGGATATATGCCTCACATTTTGATTAAATTAAATCTTTTGGTAATTGGTCAAATCAGTTTGATAAACAATCAAATCAAATCGGTTTGAATCAAACCGATTCAAAGTGGATGTTAAAATAAACTAATTGGTTCAACTGCCATGGTCTCTAAAACCAACGACTCGAAAAGAGATTTCGGGGACTCGGCCATCAATTTGGGTGAAAATATATCTCTGGTGACCGATATCATTCTAAATCAAGTGGGTTACTCTATCGATATAGTAATGGCCCTAAATGCCTTATATCACTCGCTACCAAACTCCTCCCCTTACGAATCTATGTATAGAATCTCTATTTGGATTTTGGGGAAGAGTGGATGGTCAAACGACATGTCGTTGGTTTCCCATCCATCTCTTTCAACTTTGCCATCACGAAAGGTATATTCCTGGAAGAATCTAACAGCTTCGGGTTTATTCTCAAAACGGCACTCGGGCTGCCATTTCACACGCCATTTTAGTTTTCTTGTCATTTCCCGCATCCAGCTCCTAGCAATTGAGTCCTTATGTCCCTTCAACAATCCAAAATGGTCTACTAGGTTGCTATGTCCAAAATACACATGAAACACTACCAAGATTGCATCAAATTGATAGAATCAAGTTTAGTGCTACTAGAATGCACTTTGAGCAATTATGAAGCAAATTCAAGATATTATGACCTTAAAAGCATGAAAACCATGAAGAATGGGTCATAATATAGGGGTTGAAATAATACTTTTCACGTGTCATCAAATAACCCCATACTAGAATTTTGCTTGTCCCTAATCAAACCTTACTCATAATCATACAACTCACTAGATCTTCACAATAACATGTGCCTTACAGGGTCAACCCTTAAACTTAGTGACTACCATATGCATGAAGCGCAAGTCTCGTAGGGATAAACTTCTTTATCCTTACAGATCATAAGTTCCTTCTCTTTCTAGTCTTGTTAGAGATTTTGGGTCGAAGCATGTAGGTATATCTCCGTCATTTACAATTTAGAGGTTTTGTGTGTGTAGGTACATTGCATATTGTTGTCTTTGTACGTTTTGTAGCGCAAGTCGGTTTATATGTATCCTTGATCGAGCAAGAGAAATGTTTGCCCCTCAGCTTTAACGTGAGGGATTCATTTAACTCCTTTTCCTTTATCCATGTGGAGTGGCAATGCAAACAAGGGGTGTTAGAAGCTTTATCATTGCCTTTCAAGCACAGTTCTCAAATGATACTTCAGCGCAAATATAAACAAACAAATAAGTGAACTAGCTCATATATTAAAGATCACCCTCCTACACACACTATATTAATAGATTTTTAAACAAGTATTGACCACCTTCCTCCTACTTCTGGGAAAAAAATATGAGAAGTGGAAACAATCAGAAAATGATGAAGCTACATAGGTTGTAGGCATGCTTCACTAATAACTGAAGAGGCGCGACAATGGGAGGGTGAAGGAGACGAGCTTAAACAACAATATAGTTATAAGAGTGGGGTGGCGGTTGCAGGGATGGGAAAGGACGCTAGGAAAAAAACGTGGATTGGAGTGTGTTGGTTTTGGAGGTAGAGAGAGACAAGAATGGAGGAGAAGTGACAGTGACTTGTGGATGAAGAGTTTGTAGAAGGAAATACTGAAATGATAATCAGACTAAAGTTATGATATTGAACTCGTCTCTCTCAAAGTTATGAACTAGCTAGGAGTCTTGACTTTCAGTAAAGAACTGATGTTGAAGTTGTTGGGGGACAACTTTGCGAGATAAGTGGAATTTTTCATTTTTTACATTAATTAATTTTGTGAATAATTTAGACTACTATGTTTGTCAATTGGATAGTTTTTTCTTCCCTCTCTCTTGATTAATGTAATAATAATTGGAAGAAAATATTGTAAAAATTCCATATTCTGCAAAATCATATCTATAGTCGTCCAGATTTTCTCAAATAACAACATAAAAGACATAAGATAAGGAAGGGTGTCAAAGGGGACGACTTGGTAATTTACCTTCATTGTTTTTTTTGCCTGACAGCCTGTCACTAATCCGAGAGGAGAGAGAAGCTTTATTGACTAGTCAAAACCTGTTTTTTATAATCTCACATTTTTATAATCGGTTCATATCTCCTTTCTTTGAAATCAAAATTTAAAAGTTTTGCATTGAAATAACGTAGTAATGAAAATGTACACATGATATCCATTTTTTGTCTTTTAAGTAAAAAATAGTTTTTCAAAATACTTGTAGGTTGTAGTATTATCAGCACATATCTCTCAAATCTTGATCTTACCACTATGGTAATGTTAACTCCACATCTGGCCACTATCATATCATAATATTATCACTGTGATGAACTGATAGTATCATGATGTGATAGGGATATGATGTAATTAAATCATTTTTTCAAATATAAGACATCATCCCAACATCATACCACTATGATACCATACCACTGTCAATTGTAATATCATCTAGTATAGCACAAAAACTACGCTATTTCTATGTAAAATACATTTGAAATTCGATTGAAAACGAATAAGCTATGGTCCGTTGAATTTTCGAAGAAGGTATGAAAAATAAAACACCCTCGGTAATCCAAGCGCTGCTCCAAATCCGGTAATCTATCCGTTCCAAATCACAACTTTTAGGGGTCGTTTGGAGAATGAGATTTAGGGCATGGATTCATTAAATCCGTAGATATTGTAGAAAGTTATGTTTTTTTTTTGCTTTTTGTATTGTGGATTTTAGCTGTAGAGATTTCAAATCTCTAAAATCTACGGATATCAAATATCTCATAATCAGAGAGATTCTATATCTTGATTCGTGGGATTTTTTTTCTCCTACCTTTTCTCTTTCTTTCTTTTATTTATCATATTAAATATATATTTATCAACAAAACTTTTAATATTTCTCGAACCACTCTAATTTTTTTATTAAGGATAAACATATTATTTAATATAAAAATTTTATTTTTATTTTCATTGAATGTTAACAATCACAGTTTTTATTTTCATTGAATGTTAACTACTAGGTTGAAAGCCCGTGTTCCGCATGGGTTCTTCAATTCTTATGACATTAAGATTTATTTGAATAATTGGTCACAAAGTTTGTCAATGGATAAGGATTAAAAAATGAAAATGTATCGCCAAAATACATGTGATTGAATTACACTTGATCGGCCAACATATAGTTCAATAGGCAGAAAACTCATAACGATTGTCAATATATAAGAACACCAAAATGTAAAACACATCACAAAAATACATGTAATCCGTATACGGTGATGAATCGCCTTCTAATCGAATAGTCAGAAAACTAAAAAAAATTTCAAAATAATATAATTAAAAAAACACATTGTAGGAATATACGTGACCGAAATATCCGTGATCAATCGACCTTGGTGAATTCATATATTAAACAAAAAATAGAAGCTGACATAATAAAGTTTCGAATCATTTGAATTGTACTAGATGGCCAATTAGGCCTCATATTTGAAAATAAAACCATGCAGAATTAAAATATTTATTTGAATAGTTGAAAAACTCACAAAGATTGGAAAATGCATCGCCAAAATACATGTAATTCGAACACATATGGTCATATGGTTTTAGTTTAATAGGCGGAAAGGTCACAGAAAATGTCAATGGATAAAAATTCAAAAAAGGAAACACATCGTTCGCATATGCGTGATCGAAATACGTATGATCACTGAAATTGGTGAATTAACATATCTCCAAGTGGTGGTAGAATTTTTTAACAATCCCCCAATAATATATAGTACACTTTTGTGTACTTTTTTTCATTTCAAATTTCCTGCAACGAGAGTGAAAGTAGGAAGGACATTTTTGTCTTTATAATTAATTATTTATCTCACATAAAAAATATCAACATCAAGATTTGAACCCAGGTCTCTTCAAACAAAGACAACAATCACAACCATTTACGATGAACAAATTTGTTGTGTCTTTTTGAATACAAAATATACACGAAGTTCAACTCTCTGAAAATCACAGGACTTTCCATCATGATTAGCAAGCCCACTAAGTGCGTATGTATTTTTATGGTGCTTGATATACCAATTTTCATAGTAGAGTTTCATGTAATTTTCTCAATTTTAAAATTCTTTCTCTCTCCTTAATTTTTGCTAAAGGTAAATTGGCAATTGGCTAACATGGAAAATACTAATTTTGTCACTACGTGTTGCGTCCTTGCATTTTTCAATTTAAATTTGTGGTTTTATCTTTGTTCTTATCTCTTTCTAACTTCCTCGGAAATTCCCTCCAATGTACAATAGTTTGCGCCCCTTTCACTTCCCAATACAAGGCTGCCTTTGAAAATCAATCATCCGATATCTCTTGGCACGTCAGTTTTATTGTTGCGGATTTAAGTTGGAAAAGTAAAGGAGTTTAATAAATAATGGAGTTGCAGAAGGAGGATTAGAAATTGAATTTTTGGTTGAAAATATGTCTCTTGAGATAAAAAAAAATTTGGTTGTACAAGGAAGAGTGGTGGCTATTGGACCTTATGTTTATGGTTTTTACATCTATCACAACCTATTTTTATCTTAAAACGAGGAATCATTGATTGATTTATTGAAGTAGGTCGATTCTTTATTCAACCTACTGGAACTGATAGACAAGGAGTGTCTAATTTTGTACCTTATTACTTTGATTGAGTCTATTAGTGTGTTGGAGATAACTCTAATTTTGTCGTTTGCTCTCAAGTTTTGATGGTCCCCTCTTAGCTTAGTTGTTAGTATATAGTTGACTTGAATCAACAACTCTCTATTTCTTTTTTATTAGTGGCATATTGTTCATAAAAGGAGCGCATTAAACCCTTATGTAGGATTGTGAGATTTAAGATTTAGTTTCAAACTATTTATGGGTTGTGTGGAATTTCACTGATCTTTTATACCCTCTTGCTTGAAAACCAACTAACCAATAACATTTTAACAAGGGCTTAATTAAAATTATGAAAATGAAATTAATGATACATTTTATATTTTATATTCTTAAATGATGATAGTATTTCTCCGAATGTTAGACCTATAAATGATTGGCTTAAATGTAACATAAAAATATAAATAATCAAATATGAACATTCCGGCCAACGGGCCGGGTTATAAGCTAGTTGAAGAAGTTGTGAACAGTTGAAGGAGAGTAAATTTTTGAATTAAACGTAATTGACCCACACTTAACGGTTACTAAACCTTGAACAAGGGTTTGCCCTAATGGTAATACCACTAGCCTTTCGAATCTTTTAAATAGTATCTTAATCACAAAAAAAAAAAAAAAATCAAAGTTGTCAATCCGTGGGTGGACCCGCCGGATGGCCAACATTGATGCTGACCCAGCGAGAAAACAGGTCGTACACACCGGGGCGGTTGCCCCGCTGCAAGGTATCAGATTGGAGGTCAAAATACGTTGGTTTTCCTTTGGTTTATGAAATGCGCCTATTTTTCTATTTTTTTCCGCCTAACCCATTCTTTGAAATACTAAGGTAAACATTTGAACATTGATGTTATATAAGTATGCGTGAATTTTCACTATATGGTAGATCTAAGCACGACATGTTATTTTAGTGTGATGTTATATGTTATTATTCATATGTTAGATGAGATTTTATATAATTTATAAATGTATGAACAATATAATAACTTTTATCATATATCCGTGCTAAAGTGGTCGGTCCATTAACCCTTAACCCACTTGATCGACCGGGTCAACAGGGTAAAACAGATTGACAACCTTAGTAAAAACCAATATCGCCTTTATAAAAAAACACATAATCTATGATTTTTACATGGCCATTAGTGGACCATATGTATAACCTTTAGTTGATTATTGGCCAATCATGGTGTGAGAAAATAATTAGACCAATGTCTTAGGGTTATATGCTCTCCTTCTTAATTATTAAGAAGGTTTAATTCACTTGTATATCCAAAACTTTTACGGTTGTGTAAATAATATTCAAATTTTTCGAGATACCACTTATGTCCATGTTTTAAAGTTGTTCTTTGCCAAATCTATCCTTTTCCCAATATATTTTTGGTTAAATACACTTGTATATCCAAAAACACCGTTAAAGAATGTGAAGGAATTGGATATAAGTGGTATTTCGAGAAATTTAGATATTATTGGCACAACCGTGAAAGTTTTGGATATACAAGTGTATTTAACCAATTAGTTTAATCAAGGTGTAGATAAATTCCCTTATTTTACATGCTTAAATGCTCCTTACTGTAGCCCGAGAACAAATTATATTTGACAAAGGGTGATGATGAAAACGACAGAAGACTGAGATTGAAGATTTCCATCTTCCCGCAATTAAAAAGAGAAAAGCCCCTAAAATGAGGGAAACTCTATCTGTGAGCCACATTTGGCATGTGGGAAAGCAGGGCACTCAATAAGCTTGGACCCAGAATTATCAACACACAAGTACACTTGGTACAGCTGACTGTTCCCAGATTCATCAGTGTTGCACTCTATGAAAGGAATGTATCCCACCCCACTCTGAATTGCACTCTTGATCCTGCTCAAGCTGTATGATCCTCCATTCGGCTTAATCCCTGTTAACTTCAAAGCGTTAATTCGCATGTCACAAACACAAATCACAGTGAAGGAGGAAAAACTTGAGATGCAGCAGGTTGTACAATTAATTAAGTACCTGCAGTTGTCAGAGCTTGGAGGAGCTTGGTCTGGTTCTTCAAGCTGAGGGCTCTAGAGAAGTAACTATGTTGGTCAAGAACATCTTCAGAGCATGTCCCGTGCTTGTCCCATTCGTGAGACCAGAATGTTACTCCATTGCCACTGGGGCAAGCAAGAGTTGGCCAGTCCTTTTGCATGGTGCTGATTAGATTTGAAACCTGGTGTGACGACATTAGAAAAAATGTTCAATTTCCAGGTGCTATGTACACAAGAACGACCTCTATGCCAGTTGACTTTGAAAACCAGAAGAAGTAAGATTACCTTGCTCTGGTCAAATGGGCTACTGGAGTCACAATTGGAAGGGTAAGTGCCGTCATTATAATTAGGCCAAAGCCCATGAACCCCAAAATCAGCAGCCGGTTTCCCTGTCGTTGGGTAGCAGCATTTTTGCTGTGTATCACAATATGATCCTGGCCACTGTCACCACCATACAGGGCAGCAACAACCATTATTACACTAGAAACAGAAGGAGAAAGGTACTGAAATTGGGGTGTTAATTACATTGTTGAGTTCAGTTTGATTACCTGCTGAACAAAGTAGAAGAAATCGAAATCCTTGGAAACAGAGAGCCCAGCCAGGGACAGGGCTACCAAAGCGAGGAAGAGGATTATCAGGTTCCCTGAACTTGGCTTCATCGTGTCTTTTTTTTCTTTGGGTAACTTGGGTGTTTGGTTTCTGTAGAATGCTTTTGGGTACGAGGTGGCTTGGAGAGGGAAGTATTTCTATGGGTATTTATAGCAGAAAAGGTAGAGGGTGGGGATGATGATTGGCGATGAAGGAAACAGAATCAGTAAGAGCATATGCTTGCCAGATCATGTGAATTCGTTCATGGCATTTCCCGTTGTTTGTTTTCTTATTCATAAACGTCTGTGAACAACATTATTAAGGGTTCCTCTACTTCATGATCCTTATGATGTCGGCTGGCCGGCTGGGTACATGTACGTTTTGTCTACCGGTTTGGTTTCTTTTTTTGGCCTTGCCATTGTCATTTTCAATGTATATTGATTCTTATCTTGAACTTCTCCTACAATTTGAAACTGCAATCATAGTTTCCTATTGCCACACTCTTAATGGATATTGAAGATAATATATGTGGCAACGCTTTGTTCTTTTCAATCTGAGAATGAATCAATCTTACAAATGGCTCATTCCGACAACACGCCCTGGCGCTACACTGCGACTAGAAGAACAAAATACTAATACTTAAGTTATATCTCCAAATTTCTAGTGGAATTCTGGATATGCTCAGTTGCTCACACATTCCCCACAAAGTAAGGTAGTGAATACATTTTTATTTTTCGACAAAATTATGGTTAACGTCGGTCAGAAATTCAATATCAGTAGATATATAGTTTTATGTTTGGACATGTTACCTCTTCCTTTTCTTAGAGTGAGATATTTCTTTATACATAATTTTGTTAAGTGATATATGTGTTCGGCTACGGTTTGTATTGAGCTGTAGGAGAGTAGATGCCCAATACTACGGTGTCGCTAATAAAATTGTGGCACCAGTGCTGCTTTATTTAATTGGTCCACCTAAGCAACGAGAAAATGACATGACACTCTATATGGCACTTTGATTATCACAGTAGATGTTGGCTGGATGAGGATGATCAACCTTGAAGTCACGAAGCAGATATAGAAGCCACTGAAGCTCATAGGCAGAGAAGGCAACTGCTTTGAACTCTGCCTCACAGGAGGAGCGGGAAAGAGTTTGCTGCTTCTTACTTTTCTAGGAAATCTACGAGTTGCCCAAGTAAACACAATAACCTGTAATAGATCTTCGAGTATCCACACAGACTGGCCAATTAGAGTCTGAAAAAGCCTTGAGTTGGAACTGTCCTCCAGAAGAGAAGAAAATGGCAGTGGCGAGGGCAGATTTCAAGTATCTGGGAATTCTGAGAACTGTTTTGTAGTGTGTGATGCTTGGTTTGCCCATAAATTTACTAATTACTTGTTGGGTAGCGTAGCTGATATCCGGTCTTTTTGTAGTAAGGGAGATCAATTTTCCAACAAGTGTCCTGTAAAGTTCAGGATCGACAAAGGGAATGTCCCACTCTTTAGTAAGATGAGTCTTGTAATCCATGGGGGTCGAGACTGGTCTTGAGTCTAATAAATTTGCTTCCTCAATGATTTCCAAAGCATACTTGCATTGTGATAGATGAATGCCCTGTCTGGTTCTTGCAACTTCCATGCCAATAAAGAATCTTAAAGTGTCTAGATCCTTAATGTTGAATTCAGAATGGAGAATAGCCTTGAGTTCCTCAATAGCTGATAGATCATTCCCACACACAACCAAATCATCAACATATATTTATATGCAAGTATAACTTGAATCAATGGCTTTATAAAACAAGGAATGATCTGCTTGACTTTGAACATAACCAACTTGTTGAAGTTTGTATGGGAGTTTTGAAAACTACTGTCGAGATGTTTGTTTAAGGCCATATAGGGACTTTTAGAGTCGGCAAACAGGGTTGATGAAGCCTAGTGGAGGGTCATAACCCTTTGGCAATGTCATATACACTTCCTCCTGGATATCACCATGGAGGAAGACATTGTTAACGTCCAATTGATGGATGCACCAGTTCCTTAGAGAAGCAATAGCTAGGAAAGTATTGATAGTGGCCATCTTGATGACTGGCGCAAAAGTATCCTGGTAATCTACCCCTTCCTGTTGTGTATTGCCTTTGGCAACAAATCTGGCCATAAACCTCTCTAAAGAACCATCCTGATGCACTTTCAGTCGATAAACCCACTTGTTACAATTTGTTTTTTACTTGGAGGGTGACTCGCTCCTACCGTCACTCTAGAAAATGGCCAAGTGTAACCACCTCCTAAAGCGTAGTATAGCGGGTTTGGGTTTTAATGTCAACCCGGGTCCTAGATGTGCTGAATACTCAGTGAGTTCTTATTATCTAGCGGTGAAACTTTAGTGCAGGTCCAAACAAGCAAAGCAAGCAAGAAGGTTGTTTTCAAGTCGAGAGAGGTCACCAGGATATGGTTCCCCCTATACTGCAGTTAAGCCGGATTGTAATTTACCAAGTTCAATTTCAGTGATAGTTATACTGCGGGAGGTTCTTAAACAGTCTGAAGTTTTGACTAAAGGTCTCCAGACCCTCTCAATCTGAGTCCCCAGCGGGCGACTAACCTCCACTGGAGTAACCAATTTGAGGCCCTAACGAACGAAACCTCCACTACCGGAGTAAATCCGGTACAGAATAGCCAATTGACTCCTCGACTAAAGTCGTCCATTCACTACCTTCAATCACGGATGCTCTATCAACCTAGGCAGATATTCTCATTCTAGGTCAAAGCAGAAATAACAGGAATTTGATCAGGATTCATGCCATTCAACAATTCAAACCTCAATTAAATATAATCAAATCATAGAATCTGTACTTGGGTTCATACAATCAGACCTAACATACAAATCTAGGGCCCTTCATACCCAGGTGAATAAGAAAGCTACTCTATAGAGAGAGACGGTTAATCTAGCTCAGATGCGGAAACCATATTGTGAAGGTGGATAATCTGCTTCTGGCACTCAATCGGATCTTCTCCAAGCTCAAGACGGGCTCTAATGGTGATGGAGATCGATCTAGGACACTTGCAGAATCAGGTTCGTCACTTTCTCTCTCTAGGTCGCACTTTTTCTCTCTAAAACTCGGTACCCTTCACTTGTGGCTGAAAATTGGGTTAAAAGCAGAAAATCCCGATCACATGGCCAGGCCACACGACCGTGTGACTTCCCCAGCTGCCCGTGTGAGTTGTGCAAAACGCGTCGTTTCGATAAGTGGAATTCAGCCATCCTACACGGCCACAACCACACGGGCGTGTGAGTTCCCAGGCAGCCCGTGTAAGAATTGCCGAGCCTTCACACGGCCACATGGGTTCTTTTACACGGCCCGTGTGACTTTTGCCCGTGCAATTGATGTCACACGACCAGGTTACACGGCCGTGTAGGTTTTAGGCGTGCCCATGTGGCTCCATCAGCTTCCCGCGAAATGTCCAATCCTCGTCCAATCGACCCCGAACTCGTTCCCGAGCCTTCATTCACGTATTAGGACCTGAAATATCACAAACAATAACAAACTAGCGTGAAATCGGCCTAAAACGTGGGAATCGACATCTCAAACGGCTCAAGAATTGGGGTAAAAACATGTGTAATCAATGGTCTATCAAATTCCCCCACACTTAACCGTTTGATTGTCCCCAAGCAAACGTAACCCAAACCAATGCAACTCTCCAGACCTCTGTAGCAACAAACAACCACGATCGTCAGTAGCGGATTTTCTAGATCATAAAGCAGCTTACGAGGTCAACTGGTCTTCTAAGACGTCCCCTATCTCTCTCAATGTGAGTATTAGACTCACGCCAGTATCATGAGAAGAAATAGAAGTAAGACAGTCAATTCATGGATAAAGGGACTCATAACATTTCACCGTTGGAATCCCTTTTTCTCACTTTCATTTACATTTTTTTCTTTTTTCTTTCATTTGGTGGGGTTCCAACTGCAGTCTTTTGAACGGCCGTCCCTTATTAGTCGAGCAAGAGAAATTTTTGTACATCTGGGGCTCGCCAGATTACTTCTTTTAACTTCTTTTCCTCAACTCGTGTGGAGGGTCAATGAAATTAAGGGGGGTCGGAAGCTCTATCCGTGTCCTTAAAAACACATCCTCGAGTAGGCAAACCGTTCAACGGGTGGAAGTTTTACTTGTACTAGAGACAGCTTAGCTTCACCTTGTAGGAGTACCCCACTAAGGATCACTAAAATCTCCTCCAAAACCCGATTTTGTGCAATGAACGGTGCCACACACGTTGGGCTTGCCCCATGTTTAAGATTTTGATGTTTTCGACATGGAGGACCAACTGCTTTTCATTACTCACATGAGCACCCTGTTAGACACACGAGTCCATAACACAATCCAAACAGAGTCCACATTACCCCATGAATTCAACGGTCTTAGCTCCACTAATTTACAAAATCAACTGGCACAGCAGAGAGCTAGATAGGAAAAATCTTATACTTCAACATCCTCCATAGTGCTACACTACCTCCCTAGGTTGCACATTACTATAGAGATTGTCAATTCAAAGCATACTGAGCAGGCATTTTGCATGGAAACACGTACTTGGAGCCCTTAAATTTAAAAATTTGGACAGTGGGCTAGGCTCCAAGCACACAAACAGATCTAATGCAGTCAAAAGATAAACATCCCCCCCCCCCTACACACACTTAAGTTCGACACTGCCCTCAATGGAGAAGAGTGAAGGATAAGGGGAATGATGTTACCGGTGTGCACGGAATGCATTAGACTGAAAGGGGACCAGTCTGGGAGAGGACTGGAAAAGGGACCAGTTCTGCACGAAGGGAACATGAAGAACACACTAGCACAATGTGCGTTAGGAATCAGAGTTAGCCCAGATGGACACAAATAGACAATCCACACAAGAAAGAAAAACAAACAAAAACAAATGACAGACTCAATTCAAGCTCCGCACACACATGGAGCAAACACGAAAAGTCTGAAAGAAAAGCACACTCAGAGGAGCGACGAGTACAGACTACTCATTGCCAAGGTTGTCCAAGTCGATGTCGTTCATGAAGGCATCATCATCATCAGCTGGTGGAGGTGGAAGTAGGGAGTCCTCCCAGGGAGTCCTCCAGACTGGCTGCTCGCCCGGGAGCAGCTGGAGCAGGTG